TAATCCCCTCAGCCACTTCGTACTCCCCTTTCTCGTTGGGCCGTGTGAAATTATGTTCTCTTCCAGATCCAAACATTCTGTGCAAAAGAAACTTTGATTTATTCCCCCAACTCACAGATCTATACTTATATGCGTGAATATTTAATTTTTATTTAAGTTTCAGTTGTTACAGCTATGATGACTAAAGACAAGGATAACGAGGATTAAAATATACTTTACCTGCCCAACATGGTATTGGGCTGTGCAGTGAAGATAGAAGGATCCACTACAAAGCGTGTGTTGTCAACAATCAGAGTGACTCTCTCTGAGGTCCGAATGTTTCGGTTTCCAACTGTGCCACCGGCTCCCCCTTCCTTAGGATTCTCATAGACAAAAACCATTTCTCCAGCTGCCAAGCTTTTGAAAGTGCCCTCGGTGCTGGACAAGCTACTGTTGCGACTGCTCACCACCCCACTGCTGCTGGAACCGCTGGGTGAGACTCTCTGAGGCCGCGGACTACTGGGCCTCGATGACGAGCCGCCATCTCGATCACGATCTAGACGGGCGGGCGGAATGAATCACCATGGAGAAATCATCTTTGGTTTTAATGTCCAAATCAAAGATCAAAATCCAGATAGAAAAAAAGTGCCTAGTTTGTAGTAACATTTTAGTTTGCAGCTAAGATTTGTAAAAGAATTTTGTATTTCTTTGCAATATACACATTGTATATATACACAAGGTCCCACTCATAACATTTGACATGTAGGCAGTCAAACTTCTCGGTCTTGGTCTAAACACAGGTGGATAAGCATTGCCTTGATCTGCTCACAGCCAAAAGCAGGAGACCTAAACCATGTCTGAGCTGCAAGTTGATAAATTTGGTCAGCTGTTTAACAGAGCTTGCCAAAAGCTGCAGAACTCCAACATGACACCCATATAAGCCGTCTATTCTTTCCACGCACACTCACCACTGTTGTGCTGGCGGGTGGGTGATGTGACGTTGCGAATGCAAGGGGTAAGCTGGCCTTCTCTCTCATGCGAGGAGTCCCTGGAGCGATCGCTGGAGCGGCGGCGGTCACGTGAGCGGTCACAGCCCCCGCTGGCACCATGTAAGCTCATCTTCCTATGTTCTTCCTTCACTTGAGACGTACGGGCTTGGCTGCTGCTTTTGAAACACAAAAGCATGTGTAATGCACCTCCTCCCTTTCTCAAGGCCAGAGGATATTGGTATTTCATAGTTTTATGACGCACAATGTGGAACACATTTCACTCAACATGGCTGTCACAGCTTTTGGCTTAGGTCATTTGCCCTACAAACAACTGTAGTAGTGCCAACAAGCTTCATAAAGACATTTAAAACTAACCACCAGACCAACCAGACCAACCAGATTCTACTTTAATAAAACAGTAACAAGCCGCACATTGTGTATTGCAGTCAAATATAGATACTATTACCTTTGATATTTAATTTGAAAGAAAATCAAATCAGAGTTTTGACATGCTTATTTTATGTTTATTTAGAAATTTCATTTCTAAATAAACAGTATGAGCAGTTATAAATAAAAGTAGATTAAAATTCAAATGGGAAAAAGACACAATAGAGCTAACCATTAATTTCTCAAAGACCAAATCTTCTTAGTGTTTAAAAAAAAACAACAATCAGAGAAAGAATAAAATTCACAATTAGAAGCAGAGCTACAGGGTAAAAAAAAAAAAAGGAAAAAGGAAAAAAAAAAAAGTTTTGTTTAACCTTTTAGCCATTCACAGATACATCCCAATCCTGGGGCTGAGCATACACTTGCAGAGCTTTCCTGCATACCAAAAATGTTGGCCTTCCAACAATGGAAAATCCCAAGGCCAGTGTTGAAAATGTTTTAAATTACTGTTTAAATATACTCAAGCTTGAGTTTCATTTTGCTCACCAAATTTCCAGAAATAACCAAGAAATTCATAGGCATGTATTAAGCTAGTTAATACCAAGTCACTGTCATAACTATATACCTAAAGTGCTACAGGAAACATGCCTTCAAAAGGTAGGAGACTAAATTATAAAGCAGATAAAGATAAGGCTGGCAGATGAGTTAACAAGAAAGTAAGGAAAGGCTACACAGAGCTCCATGTGGTCATCACGAACACGTTATACTTCAGTAAATATTCACTTAACATCTAGGGCTGCCACGATTTGTCGACTAGTCACGATTACGTTGACTATCAAAATCGTCGACGACTGATTTAATAGTCGACGCGTCGTTTGAAACTTTGTAAGATCACAAAAGACGCAGGAATAAGTGGCAGGATTTAAGAGTGTAATAACGGACTGAAACAGAAGATGGCAGCATTGCATGTACAAGGATGTCAGCTACCGTTAAACCCCGAAGAAGAAGAAGAAGCAGCTGTGTCCCAGAATTCATAGCGCGGCCCAGCGCAGTTTCCAACAATGGCGGCAGCTAGTTAGTTTTAATGTTACTCTTATTATTCTTTCTGGGTCACAAAATAAACGTTTAACATATTTTCAGGCGAGAATGTAGCTGTGTAAACCTCAAATATCTGCTCAGTTTATCAGGACACCACATATTTTCAAAAGCGCTCCGACGTTTTCGGAGACATCTGTTACCCACTAGCTCGTTAGCGAGCCGGGGGGCTAGGCTCACTAGCGCCGTGAGAACACCGGACTCCCCGCAAATCGTTTTCAAACCCACCGCCGTCTTTCGCTACTCAGGTTAAATATATATGAGTCACTTAGATAACTTAAAATGTTATTGTTTGGCTTTTTTTTTTTAGTATTTTATTTGTTCCTGAGTAAATCAGTTTGTCTGAGATTAAAGTTATAGTTTTTACACAGCTGAATAAACGTCAAGCAGACAGCTGATTATCAGAAGTGTGAGATGCTCCAGAATATACTCCAGTGTCCTGTTATATTTTAGATAGCAAGGAGTTTATTAAACTTCACCGAAACAATCTGCAAATTTCATTAAAATTTAATAAACTATCATCTTGTCTTTATTTTTAGTTAGCACAGACCTTAAACACTTAAAGCTGTAAGCTAATGATAGTTATATAAGAGCAGATGCTGCTGGTGCAATAAGCTGTAGTTTTACGTCTAATGGATGATGATCTGATTAGTCGACTAATCGCAAAAATAATCGGTGACTAGTCGACTATCAAAATAATCGTTTGTGGCAGCCCTATTAACATCCATCAATCCATCTTCATCCGGGGCCGGGACAGGGCAGCAGCCTAAGGAGAGAAGCCCAGACCTGGCAGGGAGAGGGAACTCATTCCCGACCCACCCGGAGTGGGCACTCCACCCTTTTCCGGCTGAGAACCATGGCCTCAGATTTGGAGGTGCTGATCCTCATTCCCGCTGCTTCACACTTGGCTGGGAACCGTTCCAGTGCGAGCTGGAGGCCTTCACCCGATGAAGCCAACAGAACCACATCATCCGCGAAAAGCAGAGACGAGATTCTGAGGCCACCGTAGTGAAAGCCCTCCGCCACTTGGCTGCGCCTAGAATTCCTGTCCATAAAAATTATGAACAGAATCGGTGACAAAGGGCAGCCCTGGCGGAGCCCATCACCCACCGGGAACGAGTCCCACTTATTGCCGGCAATGCGAACCAAGCTCTTGCAACGGTTGTATAGGGATCGAATGGCCCGTAGCAACGGGCCAGACACCCCATACTCCCGCAGAACCTCCCACAGGACACGGTCGAATGCCTCCTCCAAGTCCACAAAACACATGTAGACTGGTTGGGCAAACTCCCATGCACCCTCAAGTATCCTTGAGAGGATAAAGAGCTGGTCCAGTGTTCCGCGACCAGGACAAAAACCGCATTGTTCCTCCTGTATCAGAGGTTCAACTAGCAGACAAACTCTCCTTTCCAGCACCCTGGCATAGACTTTCCCAGGGAGGCTGAGGAATGTGATCCCACTGTAGTTTGAACACACCCTCCGGTCCCCCTTCTTAAAGATGGGGACCACCACCCCGGTCTGCCAGTCCAGGGGTACTGCCCCTGATCTCCACGCAACATTGTAGAGGCGTGTCAACCAGGACAGCCCTACAACGTCCAGAGCCTTCAGGAATTTGGGGCGGACCTCATCAACGCCAGGGGCTCTGCCACCAAGGAGTTGTTTAACTGCCTCAGTGTCCTCGCCTCCGGAAATTGGCAGGTCACTCCCCTCATCCCCAGACTCTGCTTCCTCCTCGGAAGACGTGTCAGTGGGATTAAGGAGGTCCTGAAAGTATTCCTTCCACCGCCTGACAATTTTCTCAGTCGAAGTCAGCAGCGCTCCGCCAGCACTATACACAGTGCAGGTAGAGCACTAGAATCTCTTCGAGGCAGTCCAAAAGTCTTTTTTCATGGCCTCTCCGAACTCCTCCCACACCCGAGTTTTGCTTCAGCCACTGCCCGAGCCGCATTCCGCTTGGCCTGTCGATACCTGTCGGCTGTCTCCGGAGTCCCACAGGCTTACCAAGAGCGATAGATCTCCTTCTTCAGCCTGGTGGCTCCCCTCACCTCTGGTGTTATTCACTTAACATCACAGATAAATATGTGAAAGATAAGTGAAAAGTAAGTTTGAGCCTTTGGGCAATCTCAAACCCATGGGAAGTCAACTCCATCACATTTCCATATATTGAAAACGTTAAATACTGCCATAAACAGGCAATATTATTTGATTTTCAAAAATTTTCTCAGTGGACTAACACTTCTCTCCAGTATCACGCAATCATTGAGTTACAGGGAAAGTGCTAGGCCAAATTTATATTCATAGGGGTTACGCCTATGAGTTAATACAAAGCAGGACGGATGCAAAAGATACACATAAGCAAACCGATACTTTCTCTTGTGATATCCCTAGAACAGGGCGTATGTGACTGTTGCTGTGAACTTTACAACTCCATATATTTTCACCTGGCTCACCTTGAATGCCTGCAGAGTTTGCGCGGTCGGCTCGCTGTTTTTCGTTCCCAGTTTTCTGTATCACTGGAGTTGCTGTCATATGACGGCAGACGAGCTGCCATCACCCGGACAGGGGGTAGCCCGGTCTGGATCTTTCACCGTTCATAATCTGTTCGACAAATGGCGAAATCAACAAGTCAGTTTAATTCCCTGGTCAGCCTCGTGTAAAATCCACAGGTAGCTGCTGTCGGTTAACAAAAAAGCTAGGTTGTGCAGCCAAGCTTGAGTTGAACAAAGATTGATTGTCAGGTTTATCGCTGTTATCAAATTAAACGTTGTCGACGTTGCTGTGAGACGACTTTGCTATTTTAGCATAGCTAGCTAGTTAGCTAACTAGCATTAGCAGTATTACCAGCGGTACGTTACAACAATATCAGAACAAACTTCCGAGACGCAGAATGGCTAGTAAACATGCTCCAAGAGTGTCCATAGACATGATTTGATACAGGAAAGATACAGGAAAAAAACAGCTACCTAGCTGGCTACGGTTTCCGCTGCAGTATAATCCCACTTGCTCGCCAGCTAACCAGTCATTTCCTTTCAAAACACTCACCCAGCTGACGTACGACGTGACGACCGTTAACGGCTCGACGTGCTGACGCACTTAAAACTACATTTCAAAGTCATTGCTACGCTCGCCGATCAAACGTGTCTCAAAAGTTAAAGAGTTGAAAAATTAAATGTACTACAGGTGACTGACCTGTTTTCAGTAGGTAATAGAAGAAGTTTTTCTTTTTCTTCAAAAAAGTCAAAAGAAAGATGACCGAGTCCCTCAAGTGTCGCGATATGTTGCGTGTGCGATTGCTTTTTTTTTTAAAGTTTCCTTTATTCATGAAAAAAAATCCAAAATGTGAAGATACTAGTACCGATATTTGTAAGCCTATAAAAGACAAAATGAACCGTGGAGAAAAGGAAAGAAAAAGAAATATGAAATAAGGTACAAAATAAATAAATAAAAGTAAATAAATAAATATATGTTTTCATGTACATGTAACTCAGCTTATGTGGAGAACTGACAGCAGATATTGAAGAATGTAATTGCATTTATAATTAAAACACCCATTAACATGTGCATTAATTTATTATATAATAAATATAGCACTATTTTAGACTCTATAATCAGCAGTTCCCACTGATTAGCACTGAACTGATCTGTCTACTATGGAAGCTTATTTCTTCAACTAATGATTTTTTTCTATCCATAAGTCAAAATTTCAAGTTAGTATCTCGAAATTTTGAATTACATAATACAGAATTTTAACCTCCCCAGACTTGAAATTTTGAGATAATTACTTACTTTCAACTTTGCTCTGCCTGGCAGATTTTGTTTTTAATTATTTTTTATTTATTCAACTTTAGTGGTGGAAAGAAGCTTCCATATTCCATTGTGCACAGTTTGAGGTAAAACTGCAGAATATAACAAAAAAAATGATTAAAGATTAATTAAAACTAGGAGTAAACACAAAGTGTTGATAAATCTAACCAGGTATCAGTTCAGCCTACAGTTATGCTATGGTAACAAACAATGTTAAATAAATAACAAAATTAGGTTAAGTTGTAGGTAGTCTCATATCATAGTGGTGCTTTGTCCAATTAATTTAAAGGCCTCTAACTGGATGTGAAAAAAACACCGCACACTAGCAAATCTTTGCAGAAGACATTTTTATTTTAAAGTATTAATATATAGATAATAGTTATAGTAGTAGCAAAGTTGCTTATTCAAAGTAAATGCAGGGTCATAGCAAGGGTGCTTGTCAATTAGCCAGACTGGAGGACAGAGCAACACAACAGCCGAACAGGATACATATCAGAGCTTATCTATGTCTTATCCATCAATCATAACATCTCTCTGCTTTGCCTTTATTCGACACAAGTCAAACAGCCTGTTATGATTTGCAAACAATATACACACACACACACACACACACACACACACACACACACACACACACACACACACACACACACACACACAGTATACAAGGCTGGAAAAGTCTGAATATGATGATATGATGCAATGTGTGCAGCCATCAGTCAGTAAAATCACCTTAAAAAAAATTAAAGTGGGACTAGACATCAACTGAATTCTAATCTTTAGGACTGAAAATTGATGATCTTGTCTTATGACTTTTTATCAAGTATTTCTAGAATAATTTTCGTGTATGGCCACTCAAAACATCAATCAATTCTGTAATCTGACAGATATATTACAATTTTTTGCAAATTTTAAAGAACATTACTTAGTGTGAGTTATTCCTGCGCCAAGAATATGTTAAACATTGTGTAATGTATTGTATGTAAAGCCATGTATGTAATCTATGTAAAGTCAAGCTAGCGAACGCAATCCAGAAATTGCTGACACAAAAGGCATGTAGGTTGAGTTGTCGTATAGGTTACATCTCACAAAGTTACCCAGTAAAAGTGATCAATACCTGACAGTAAGAATGAAGTACAGCAGTTCAAAGAGAGATCAGAGAGGTTCTGCAGAGCACTTTAGAGAAATTTGTTGTAGAAAGTTAAAGCAGGGGTAAAAATCACCAGCAGAAAATCTGACTCAGTCCTCAGGAGATCATGTTAGTGACTATAAGAGGACTGACTGAAAAACATACAGTATAACTCCTGAAAGTCATTACATAAAGGCATACATATGATGCGCATGTAAGAAGCACACACAAGAAATGTAAGACTAGCCATCTTATTGGTCCTTTACAATATGCAGTAAACAACATTTGTAAATAGTGATGTGTATGGTGTGGAGAGTGGGAGGACATTTTAAAACCTTTTCTTCCCCAGACGGCCTGAGATATTGACTGTAGTACTTGTAATCCTACTGATATGACATTAAAACAGAATGTAAAAAAAGGGAAAAAAAGAGGGAAAACATTTATCAGACAAGAAAAAAATAAAAAATAAAATAGAATTAAAAATAAAATAAAAAACACAATAAAAGCATAAATAAATCAATAAATAATCTGACAAAATTTTAAAATAAGTTAAGAACAATAAGAAAAAAACATCTAAAATAACTCTTGGAAAAATAGTCAGATTCTTCAGTAATGCATGGGGATTTTGTTTCATAAGATATACTGAACATTAAATCACTTGAATTTGCATATTTTGTATAACTTTTTTAAATTTTTGATCCAAAAACATCATATTGAAAAATATTTTTTATAGTTCTTGCTTTTCCATGTAGTGGTTTAGAGCTGGCCACAATAATTCCCTTCAACTTTTCCTGGAGCCAGTCTTGCCTTTCTCCTACTTGTTTGTGTTCTCGAACATTGTGCATAAGCTGCACCTCACTGACAGTCCTCTTTCTGCACAAACAGAAAACACACACAGTCAACTCAAGGAAGAATTACAGGATCAGTTAATTATTTAAGCTAATTGTGCATTATTAATTTTCATTCCAAAGATGATATTTCACTGTAGAAAGTTTAAGAGTTTACCTCAGTGGTTTAGCCTCTGTGTGGATGCTCCAGAGGAGGATTACCAGAACCAACATTTCCAAGAACCTCAGTGAAAACATGTCGATTAACTGAAGCAAATTAAACTATTAGTTAGACGAGGTATTTTCTACGTATATTTTCAAAAATATATATGTATATTACAGCCATCTATTTAAAGACATATTCATTGGTCGTTCTTACCAGGTCTGGTGTCCTTCTATCCAAGAAATAGTGCGTCAGAGCTGGTAGTTAGAGGACTCTATCCGTCTGGGAAAGAAGTCAAACTTGTTGATCAGTCTTTCGTGTTAGGAAGGCGCTCTCCTTTATATACAGTGTAGCCCTCCCCTGGTCATCAATGAGCCATTTTCACTGTTGATGTTGATGTCACTTTTCCAGTGCATCAATGCGAACAGGCATCTGCATGACACCACCTCCACCACAATTCACTACTAACACATCTTTCAACACCTCTGTAAAGGGGCCTGCTTGTCACACTGGTTTTGAACATGCTCCATTTTCACCCTTCATCCCGAATCATTTTTGTTATGACATACAGGCTATGTGCATACACTTTAGCAAGCAAATCTCTTTATTGGTTAGTATATCTCTAACAGTATATGCCTCATGCAGCAGGACTGCAGTGAAAACATATACTCTCTAAAATGGCAATAACTGTCAAGCTTAATTTATTAGCAGTGCAACTTATTTTATGGTTCATCTCATGCAAGCTCTAAAGTTTGCAGAAAGGTGTAACTGCATCAGGCCGCAGACATAAAGCATTCAGTGTTGCCGATTAATATAATGTTAATATAATCTCTGAGCTCTCTGACGTGACGGATTGACTGAATACCTACAGATCTAGTTCTTCTGTTCTTTCAAGACTTGCTAGTAGCAATAGAACATGTTAAAAGTAGCTTGCATCAGCTAAGGAGATCATATATTTTCATCTTCATCAAGAGTATAGAACCACTGATTTTTTATTTATTTATTTATTTATTTATTTTTTGCATTTTATGTGAGAAACCCCCCCCCCATATCTGTAAAATTTATTTTTGAGAATTATGAGTTCTCAAAATGTTCTTTAATGAAAGAAATTTGTTGCAGATGCTTGTATAAAGCTGCTGTAGGAGTGTAGATTCTACAGTGGTTGCATATAAAGCTTTACTCATGATATCAAAGTGGACCGGACATTTGAAAAACATACAATTAACATCCTGTTAAATATGTAGCATCACACTTTGTGAGGTATGGGTTATGGATAACCTTGTCATGGTGTCACAAGCTGCATTAGGTAACCGTGAAAGATGTTTTCTAAATGTGGCAAAGGAATGGCAATGTCATGACTGACAGAATAGGTGTTGCAAAAGGACCTATAGCTTTCTGTCATTTAATTTTCCAGCAAAATTTAATCTATACAGGGTGTATTAACCAATCTGCACATATTACTACAGCCTAATTAATAAAGTGTCAGATGTACTGCAAAGTCTCAAAGACTGACTAGAGACAAAACTGACATATCACAGAAATTAAAAAGTGAATTTACAACAGGCCAGTATACCTGGCTCAAGTACATGTTTTGCCATATACATCTCTGTCAGCTCTCTGCAACATGCTGTAAAACAGCACTAAGAACCACCTGTGCTTTCAACTGGGCTAGATTTTTTGCACACGTGTAGTATACTCAACCAAGCTTCCCCCATTACTTCATGTGGTCACAATGTGAGCCATCTAAGTTATGGTATGCTGCCAGGGTGCAAGAAGACGAGACAGGGATTGATGGGAAGAATTGCATGCAAATCATTAACTTGGGTCACCCCCATGTGACAAAGAAAGCAACATACATAAAATGACTCATCTCTTTGAACTACAGTATATTTAGCCATGTTGGCCGTAAATAGGCCTAACATTTTGGTTCTTAACAAACTTTCATTGAATTTTAAGAGGCTATATTTGTCATACCCTGAGTTCAGGTGGAAGTTGGTGATATTTAAGAAGGAAATACAATTAATTAAAATAACACAAGCCAGTGCACAGGGTATATTGATTTTTGATAGACCTAGCAGAGGGCAGATTCATTTCACTGGCCTCTATATTGTGTGTTTAAAGGTATGGAAGGACACCCAGGCCATATAAGCGCTCCCTGACTTCTATAAATGGACCTACTTTTTTCATGAAATGAGGTCACCTCACTCAACGATATCATGTAACGAAACAGGATATATTTAGATGCTTGACATCATCCCAGCTTTGCTTTTGAAGCCAAACAAATGCATAGAATGCATATTTTATTCATACCGATTGGATAACAATTTATAGCCTATGAAGTGGGCAGAGTCTAATGCTGCAATAAATCTTTCAGATGCGTGTCCATCCAAGTCTTTCTGGAGCAGCTCAGCAGTTTATTTGCCAAACCAAATGTTTTTTTCCCTTCATGAAGCAGGTTTGCAGGGATACGCCAGTCGTGTCAGTGCCATTTTATGTGGATTCCCACACTCACATCAATCAATCACAGAGCTTTGCAATGTCCATTTGACTACTCAGCACAGGTGGTGGTGGTGTCAAATTAGTAGTCAGTATCTCCTAACCGACTGAACACACAGTATGGCCTACAAAGAAAGAGCCCACCTGGATCAGGTTGGCAGCAAACTGGTCAGTTTTTTTCCCCTGTTATTATCATTATCATTGATGTTTTTGTCACAGCAAGCAAAGTTATGATAAGTAGAAAATTTCACATTAGCTTATAACAATATATTTTGAAACAGTTTTAGTTGGCTGTACTATTCCATTTAATACAAATACTAAATCCGTGTGTATATGATTATGATAATCCAAACTCTACCTGGAAATGTTTTGGAAAGTCTTTGCGTTCAGCTTGAATTTAAATAAAGTTTAGAAGTTTATGCTTTGTGCACTAAACATCATGACGATTCAGGGTAATACCATGTTAATACCAAATTAAAATAACTGATTAAAAAAGATATTAATCAAAAGAAATTTAGATAGAAAAGGACAAACGACAAGAGGCACAGAAAGCAGAGTCTGATTCTGCTCAGTGATCATTTTTTGTAAGACTTTTATGTATCCAGAGGAAATCTGATTCTGTTTTGCTTATGCTCTGCTGGTTATTCACACAGTAATACTTTCAAACCTGGGAGGTTTCCAAACAGTAGAACTTTATATAAAGCAGCTTCAGAGGAGTCGACTTCTTAACAATCACAGTACTTTTTTTTTTTTTTTTTTTTTTTAATTTCTGGGTATTATATGTGCAGTTTAACCTAAAGTAAAAAAATATTTAACCATTCAGTATTTTGTCTTGGATTTGTTGTTATTTAATATCAAAGCAGTATGCAAGTCGTGTCATAGTAGCCTCAGTTGCTGCAATGTTATTTTGGTTGTGAAAGTTACTATGAAAACAGTGGTTTCCTCACAGCTGCTCATTATAAGTTTAGATTTCTTCCACAAGAGGTCACTGTGATCCAGCAGTTCAGTCAGGCAGACCAAAATCCACTGTAATCCTCTTTAATTACATTATCAGAAGAGCTTTCTGTAACAGCTTTGATAACCAGTATTATCACCAAGTTTATAGTTTGTAGTTAAGTATGAGATTGAAAAAACAGTTTTTGATGCACAATATTTGAAAGCAGTGAAAGGGGTGATAAAAATATGAAAACAGGAGGGTTCAGTCTGATATTAACAAAGAAAAAAACAACAACAGCACAAATACCACAAAATAAGAAATGACCCTAAAGTAGTCAGCTGCAATTACCTTGTGAAAACACGCCTTACACTTCATTGCTTGTTTTCCAATTATCTAAAGTTTATATTAGTGTGACTTTCTCAACTTTTGGTAAAATACCTGCCCAACCTTCATTGGCATTTTGTGCAGAATTTACATGAAATTAATTTCTCTGAGTTTATTGATAAGCCTGTCTAATAACATGCAAAACCGACAGTTTTGTTTAATCTAACCAATAAAATGCTTTTATCAGCCTTTTCATCTTAAATACACAAACAGGTCCTTCTGGGACATGATGAGGGAAATGAGGCAGGTGAGAAAAACGAGATAAATTTCAGAAGAGACTGTCATGTGGGTTAAGCAGAGTGTGCTGCTGTGTGTACTGTGTATATCAGCAATGTTGTCTGTGGTAAAAAGGTGCAAAGAATTTAAAGCACAAAACATTGTTATTCCCACCCACTATGAGTCCAAAAGAAAGAAGCCTCCTGCTGGGATTACCTGGTTGTTTCCAACAATTTGTTGTCTGAACATTCGTCGGTATGAGACGATTGTGGAAGTGAGAATGTATTAGAAACTCTGTGTAAAGTGCATAAATATATGAGTGATTTCACAGCGCCACAGTGTGAATTTTATTATATGCGCCCTTGTTGGTCTCACTTTGTTTCCCCGTACACACTCCTTTGGGCTTCTTACATTTTGTGCTACATAGTGCTTCCTGTAGCTTTGTTTTCACAGCATACATTGTGGAAACTGCTTGCATTAAAATTTATGTTTGTACCTTAAAATTTATTTTCTTTCCTTAGTAGTTTAGTGGAAAAAGGGACAAATTGCATCATAACAGCAAGATGCACCACTTTTCTTGTTAAGACTATGAAGGTTTCTAGTGTAAATTCAGTATGAACGTGCAATTACATAAAAACGCCTCTTCTGTGAGTTACAGGTGACCAATAACACTAATGCATCTTTTTGTCAGCGAGGCTGTGAATACATGAAGACAGCTCCACTTCCACATAAAAGGAAAAACAATATTTAAGTTACTGAATCATCTACTTTAAAAGATTATACAAATCAATAAAAAAATAACCTTCCATACCAAATAGAAACTGTTGGCTACAGAGCAGGTAAATTCACTTTGGTTTAGATTTAAATATATATTTACTGGTCTGACAGCCCACCACTTCTCCACCAAGCTGATTCATATTTCAGCTTGGAGCCATGCCACCTACATGTGACCTTGATAATGATAATGTATACTGACTCAAACTGAGTCACTGCTGTGCAAGCAAAATGTCAGAGTTGGCTCACTAACCCACTTTCCCTGCTGTGTGAGATAAGGAGGCGTTGGAGCTTCTGAACTCCACTTGGACACTGCTTGGAAAAACTGCCTTTGGAGCAGGTGGCCAGGGGGCCAAAACAGAGCCACCAAAGGGTCAGGAAGACTTTTAAAAGCAGAAATTGCAGAGAACTTCAGTATTATTAAATAAAATGCACTACTATACCTTCATTTCCACAGAGGATGCCAGTGTTACTACACAG